TTGTTGTTTGTTTGTTTACTGTGTTGTTTGTGTGTGTGTTTGTTTACTCCTGTGTGTGTTTGTTTACTGCTGAGATGTGTTGTGTGTTTGTTTACTGCTGAGATGTGTTGTTTGTTTGTTTACTGCTGAGGTGTGTTGTTTGTTTGTTTACTGCTGAGGTGTGTTGTTTGTTTGTTTACTGCTGAGGTGTGTTGTTTGTTTGTTTACTGCTGAGGTGTGTTGTTTGTTTACTGTGTTGTTTGTGTGTTTGTTTGTTTACTGCTGAGGTGTGTTGTTTGTTTGTTTACTGCTGAGGTGTGTTGTTTGTTTGTTTACTGCTGAGGTGTGTTGTTTGTTTGTTTACTGCTGAGGTGTGTTGTTTGTTTACTGTGTTGTTTGTGTGTTTGTTTGTTTACTGCTGAGGTGTGTTGTTTGTTTGTTTACTGCTGAGATGTGTTGTTTGTTTGTTTACTGCTGAGGTGTGTTGTTTGTTTACTGTGTTGTTTGTGTCTCCCTGCAGGTGGGTCAAACAAGAGGACGAGAGGAGTAAAAGCTCTCATCTCGGGGACTCGGGACCTAAACTGGATCTGGGCTTCAAAGAGGGTCAGACCATCACGCTGAACATCGGGGTAAAGACCAGTTAGTGAGACTTTCTAAAACCAGCTTTAACAACACAAGTCTGACTCTTCTCAGGCCTGTTGTTGTTGTTGTTGTTGTTGTTGTTGTTGTTGGTGTTGGTGGTGGTTTCCTGGTGTAAATAAGAGCATAATAAAGATCGCTAGCATTAGCATGCTAACACAACAATGCTGCACGAGTTGTTTTGGTTTCATGCTGGAGCTCAAGGGCGACATCTGCTGGATCAAAAAAATCACATATTCCGCCCGCCGGAGGACCACATCCTCTGCACATGGGGCCGACTTAACCGCTAGGCCATCTGCGCCCCAGTGAACAAAGTTTCAGACCAACAAAGAGCCGTCACACATAAGAAACTGGGCCGTCAAATTAACCGCTAAATCTCAACAGTTGATCGCAAGAACGAATCTAAATCTAAATCTAAATCTAAATCTGAATCTGAATCTGAATCTAAATCTAAATCTAAATTTAAATTTAAATCTAAATCTAAATCTAAATCTAAATCTAAATCCCACGAGAGAAAAAGTCAAATGTTAAAATGAAACCGTTCAAGAAAATCATTTTTTTTCTGTCCTTTTTGCTTTAGCAAGGTAGAAAGAGGGATAAACCCCGCCCACAAGGCTCAGGGGGCTTTGGACTCCTCCCACCACCGCCTGGAGGCAAGATAGCCCCTCCCCCTTTGTCAGGCTCATCCAATCACAACACAGTTCCCCAAACAGGAGGAATGGCAACCGGTAAGAGTCACCGACTTGTTTTTGTGTGTCAGGATTTAGTTTGAATGTTTATTTGTTTATTTGTTTATTCGATGGGGACGATGTGAAGGTCAGCGTCCTGAGCACAAAGGGTCAAAATAGTTTAACCTTTGGATCACCGCCTCGCTCGTCCATGTAACTTCTTCCTGATCAACCAATCAAAATAAAGAGGGGGCAGGACTTCTGCTATCAGCTTTGTAAACAACAATGGCGGAGGAGAAACTTGGGTGGAGCTGCTGAAGTCACGATCGGGCTCCTTTACATTTTATTTGATGTTTTTATTGGTGACATTTCCCCCCCCCCCCGTCAGTTAATGAGCTTCTTGTAGCTGAGTGGAACGTTTCAGAGCTGCAGGTAAAGTGTGTCCTCGTGTGTCCTCGTGTGTCTTCGTGTGTCTTCGTGTGTCCTCGTGTGTCTTCGTGTGTCCTCGTGTGTCCTCGTGTGTCCTCGTGTGTCTTCGTGTGTCTTCGTGTGTCCTCGTGTGTCCTCGTGTGTCCTCGTGTGTCCTCGTGTGTCTTCGTGTGTCCTCGTGTGTCTTCGTGTGTCCTTGTGTGTCCTCGTGTGTCTTCGTGTGTCCTCGTGTGTCCTTGTGTGTCTTCGTGTGTCCTCGTGTGTCTTCGTGTGTCCTCGTGTATCCTCGTGTGTCTTCGTGTGTCCTCGGTTGTGAATGTGTGTTTGTGTGTGACAGGCTGCCTGTTGGAGCTGGACAGCAGTAACTCCAACACCGTGGTTCAGTCCAACGCCTGCTCGGATCTTTGGGGAGAATTCTCTGCACCCGCCAGGTAAACGCTTAAATCCAGGTCCAATCAGTGAGCTGTGTGGAGAGTGAGATGATAAAGGTATCTTACTATCTGATCATTAAAGATCCAGTCAGTGAGCAGTGTAGAGAGTGAGATGATAAAGGTATCTTACTATCTGATCATTAAAGGTCCAATCAGTGAGCTGTGTAGAGAGTGAGATGATAAAGGTATCTTACTATCTGATCATTAAAGGTCCAATCAGTGAGCTGTGTAGAGAGTGAGATGATAAAGGTATCTTACTCTCTGATCATTAAGGAAACATGCTATGTTGAAGTGCTGGCTTCTCTGACAACAATGCAGCAGCCAGTATGTCCTCCTTCTAACTTTAGAAGGAGGACAGCTCTCTATGATCAGTTCATCATTTTATCGTTGTAGTAATTTCAGAATGAGCAAAACAATAACCTCTCCTTTAATGAAGTTGTGATGTCATCAGAAACAGCGATGAACACTAATCTTGGCGTCTCTCTTTTCAGTTCTGTTCCACCACAATCGAGACCACAGGATGGGGGAAACTGGATGCAGTTTTGATTGGTCGGCGGCGGCTGTGACATCGTGTTTGACTTCCATCTCATACTGCTTCCTGTGTCTGTAGCTTCCTGTGCTTCACACCCAGATTCACTCCTAACCAATCCCATCGCAGAGCTGTAGAGACGCCTCATCACGTCGTGACTTCATCCCGAGAGAAGGAGCCACTTCCTGTTCTGTTTAAGGGCTAATGTGTGACTTCCTGTTCTGTGTGTCTGCACTGAGCTTCAGCTCTGATCTGCTCTCTGTTTGTTAATGCAGCAGCAGCTCCCTCTGCAGGCGCTGTGGGGTACTACAGCACAGGAACAAAAACCTGATGTTGTGAAATGTAAGACGCACATCAAAGAAGAACATCCTTATATTTAATTTATCCTTGAATTGGCACTTACACAGACTTACTCTTTCTTTATTGGCTCGCCTGTTTGACCTTAGAGAACACTTTCTGACACATCGCTCACCTGATGGTTTGAACAGCCGCACTCTGTGAATGGTGGAGCAGCGCAGCCTCGTCCATACGTCTTAAAAATATGTTTCTCTGCAAACTGCTACAAATACAAATAAGTGCAAAGATAATGTGCTTAAAAATGTGAATTCAAAACAGCAACAGCCACAGATGTGCATGGACTAAACATAAATATATCCACTCCTGATGATGTCTAGATAACATCTGGAGGACTGCTGCTGATCTGTGGGGGGGGGTGTCTCCTGAGGTAAGACTTGATGTAAAAAGAACGATGTGGAAGCAGCAGAGTCCTCCATATGACTCTATGATGAGAATGTGTCTTTGTATCAATGCTAGGTGTAGTTGAAGAGAATCTCAAAGTGAAGTAAAGAGAGGAGAAGAACATCCTGGAGAACAGGAAACATGCAGCAGCAGGTTGATTAGAGCACGGAGATGGTAGAGGTGGCGTGCAGACAGTCTATGGTCGTGCAGCGATCACAGGGAATAAAGGTCACCACCCCCTCCCACTGGCTCCTCCCACTGGCCCCTCCCACTGGCTCCAGGTGAATTCTCCTGATTATATCCTGCTGTGTTCTCACATCAGCTCACTCTGACTTTCTGCAGAATAAACACGAGGAGGCTGGAGGAGAAACTCTGGGTGGATGTTTGTTCCCCCGGCGGCTCGTTAGCTTAGCATAAAGACTAGAAACAAAAGGGAAACCGCTAGCATGTCTCTGCCCATTGGTAACAAAAATTAATAAAGATAAAGATTTATTGGATGTAAAAATAAAATCCAGGAAGTAAAAACCTTAAAATGGTTTGTTTCTCCCAGAGTCTCAAACTGAAATCATGTAAACCCTTAAAGAACGTCCCCGATGCCTTTATCGCCGTGTGACGTATTCCAGACATGAACATGAGATGTTTTCTTTTTGAAGTCCTCACGTCGAGGAAATCAAACGGCGAGAACAACAGGAAGTCTTATTCCACGTGATGAATGTGTTGATGGCAGCGGATGAAATGTTAGTTTAGGTTCTGATTGTGGATCCTGATGGCGTCTCGGAGACGTGTAAACGCTCCCTCTGGACTGTGAGTCTGTGAAACTGTGTGTTGTGTTTACATCGCTTTGCGTGCTGAAGTGTTTAAAACACGTCTTCTCACTCGTTCCCTTCAGGCTGTGAAACCGGCCGAATAACACTTTTGATTTCTGAGAAAGAGGCAATAAATCCTTTTGACAGGAAGTGACATGTCTGCGTCTTTTCTTTGACAACATTTCAGAAGGTTTCATCGTGACCGTCACACCAAAACATCTTTTAAATCATGACGAATCACTTTTAGAATTCCAATAGTTTTTATTTAAAGAAAGAATGTTTGACTGTTTGATCCAGTAGAGGTCGCCCTCGAGCTCCATGAAACCAAAACAAACTTCTGTTAGGCCACGCCTCCTCCATACTGACGCCTCCGCCCTCCTCCAGAGACACACCTCCAAACCCCTCCTCCCATGAAGGAGTCAGGCGCAGGCTCCTCCCCTTGTGTATAAAAGCTGTTTTAGTCAAGAACTAGAGAGAAGAAGAAGAACATACTCACTGATTATTTGGATGTTAGTAAGAGTTTTTAGATCACGCTCATTCTGTGTCAGTTTACATGAAATGTGAAGCTACGAGCTAACTAAAGAGCGCTAACATTAGCATGCTAACACAACAGTGTGAAGCTACGAGCTAACTCAAGAGCGCTAACATTAGCATGCTAACACAACAATGTGAAGCTACGAGCTAACTCAAGAGCGCTAACATTAGCATGCTAACACAACAGTGTGAAGCTACGAGCTAACTGAAGAGCGCTAACATTAGCATGCTAACACAACAATGTGAAGCTACGAGCTAACTACAGAGCGCTAACATTAGCATGCTAACACAACAGTGTGAAGCTACGAGCTAACTAAAGAGCGCTAACATTAGCATGCTAACACAACAATGTGAAGCTACGAGCTAACTCAAGAGCGCTAACATTAGCATGCTAACACAACAGTGTGAAGCTACGAGCTAACTGAAGAGCGCTAACATTAGCATGCTAACACAACAATGTGAAGCTACGAGCTAACTACAGAGCGCTAACATTAGCATGCTAACACAACAATGTGAAGCTACGAGCTGACTAAAGAGCGCTAACATTAGCATGCTAACACAACAATGTGAAGCTACGAGCTAACTACAGAGCGCTAACATTAGCATGCTAACACAACAATGTGAAGCTACGAGCTAACTGAAGAGCGCTAACATTAGCATGCTAACAACAATGTGAAGCTACGAGCTAACTGAAGAGCGCTAACATTAGCACGCTAACACAACAACGTGAAGCTACGAGCTAACTAAAGAGCGCTAACATTAGCACGCTAACACAACAACGTGAAGCTACGAGCTAACTAAAGAGCGCTAACATTAGCACGCTAACACAACAACGTGAAGCTACGAGCTAACTAAAGAGCGCTAACATTAGCACGCTAACACAACAACGTGAAGCTACGCGCTAACTAAAGAGCGCTAACATTAGCACGCTAACACAACAACGTGAAGCTACGAGCTGACTAAAGAGCGCTAACATTAGCACGCTAACACAACAACGTGAAGCTACGAGCTGACTAAAGAGCGCTAACATTAGCATGCTAACACAACAACGTGAAGCTACGAGCTAACTACAGAGCGCTAACATTAGCATGCTAACACAACAATGTGAAGCTACGAGCTAACTACAGAGCGCTAACATTAGCATGCTAACACAACAATGTGAAGCTACGAGCTAACTAAAGAGCGCTAACATTAGCATGCTAACACAACAATGTGAAGCTACGAGCTAACTAAAGAGCGCTAACATTAGCATGCTAACACAACAATGTGAAGCTACGAGCTAACTGAAGAGCGCTAACATTAGCATGCTAACAACAATGTGAAGCTACGAGCTAACTGAAGAGCGCTAACATTAGCACGCTAACACAACAACGTGAAGCTACGAGCTAACTAAAGAGCGCTAACATTAGCACGCTAACACAACAACGTGAAGCTACGAGCTAACTAAAGAGCGCTAACATTAGCACGCTAACACAACAACGTGAAGCTACGAGCTAACTAAAGAGCGCTAACATTAGCACGCTAACACAACAACGTGAAGCTACGAGCTGACTAAAGAGCGCTAAGATTAGCATGCTAACACAACAACGTGAAGCTACGAGCTAACTACAGAGCGCTAACATTAGCATGCTAACACAACAACGTGAAGCTACGAGCTAACTACAGAGCGCTAACATTAGCATGCTAACACAACAATGTGAAGCTACGAGCTAACTAAAGAGCGCTAACATTAGCATGCTAACACAACAATGTGAAGCTACGAGCTAACTAAAGAGCGCTAACATTAGCATGCTAACACAACAATGTGAAGCTACGAGCTAACTGAAGAGCGCTAACATTAGCATGCTAACAACAATGTGAAGCTACGAGCTAACTGAAGAGCGCTAACATTAGCACGCTAACACAACAACGTGAAGCTACGAGCTAACTAAAGAGCGCTAACATTAGCACGCTAACACAACAACGTGAAGCTACGAGCTAACTAAAGAGCGCTAACATTAGCACGCTAACACAACAACGTGAAGCTACGAGCTAACTAAAGAGCGCTAACATTAGCACGCTAACACAACAACGTGAAGCTACGAGCTAACTAAAGAGCGCTAACATTAGCACGCTAACACAACAATGTGAAGCTACGAGCTAACTAAAGAGCGCTAACATTAGCACGCTAACACAACAACGTGAAGCTACGAGCTAACTAAAGAGCGCTAACATTAGCGCGCTAACACAACAATGCGAAGCTACGAGCTAACTAAAGAGCGCTAACATTAGCATGCTAACACAACAATGCAGGACACAGCTAATGTGAAGTTACAAGCTAACTAGAGAGCGCTAACATTAGCATGCTAACACAACAATTTAAAGCTACGAGCTAACTAAAGAGCGCTAACATTAGCATGCTAACACAACAATTTAAAGCTACGAGCTAACTAAAGAGCGCTAACATTAGCACGCTAACACAACAATGTGAAGCTACGAGCTGACTACAGAGCGCTAACATTAGCACGCTAACACAACAATGTGAAGCTACGAGCTGACTACAGAGCGCTAACATTAGCACGCTAACACAACAATGTGAAGCTACGAGCTGACTAAAGAGCGCTAACATTAGCACGCTAACACAACAACGTGAAGCTACGAGCTGACTAAAGAGCGCTAACATTAGCATGCTAACACAACAATGTGAAGCTACGAGCTGACTACAGAGCGCTAACATTAGCACGCTAACACAACAACGTGAAGCTACGAGCTAACTAAAGAGCGCTAACATTAGCACGCTAACACAACAACGTGAAGCTACGAGCTAACTAAAGAGCGCTAACATTAGCACGCTAACACAACAACGTGAAGCTACGAGCTAACTAAAGAGCGCTAACATTAGCACGCTAACACAACAATGTGAAGCTACGAGCTAACTAAAGAGCGCTAACATTAGCACGCTAACACAACAACGTGAAGCTACGAGCTAACTAAAGAGCGCTAACATTAGCACGCTAACACAACAACGTGAAGCTACGAGCTAACTAAAGAGCGCTAACATTAGCGCGCTAACACAACAATGCGAAGCTACGAGCTAACTAAAGAGCGCTAACATTAGCATGCTAACACAACAATGCAGGACACAGCTAATGTGAAGTTACAAGCTAACTAGAGAGCGCTAACATTAGCATGCTAACACAACAATTTAAAGCTACGAGCTAACTAAAGAGCGCTAACATTAGCATGCTAACACAACAATTTAAAGCTACGAGCTAACTAAAGAGCGCTAACATTAGCATGCTAACACAACAATGTAAAGCTACGAGCTAACTAAAGAGCGCTAACATTAGCATGCTAACACAACAATGTAAAGCTACGAGCTAACTAAAGAGCGCTAACATTAGCATGCTAACACAACAATGTAAAGCTACGAGCTAACTAAAGAGCGCTAACATTAGCTCGGAGGTCGGAACTCAGAGCTGGGAATGACGCCACACCCGAGTTAACTGCGTTCCAGTTGTAAGTCGGAAAAGCAACATGGCCGCCTCCAGGAGTACCTTTGTTTTGTTAGCTAACACCAGACGATAACAACACACTGCGTGATAGTTTCATGAAAACACCTCCACAGAGTTTCCAAGCCGTGATTCTGACTTCAGGGGGCGTTCCTGATGACGTTTCAGACCGACTTCCGAGATCAACTGGAACGCAGCATATAGATGTGGTCTTTGTAGTCCATTATCAGTGAATTGTAGTTTTTAACAGAGCAGTGTGAGGTCTACTCCACCAGTAGTTTTTACTGGTTTGGCCAAAATGTGAGATCAGCAGTACGACAAAAAAAAGAGAAGACTGCGGGGGATCATCAAAGACAGACGGAAACATCGCCTGGAACCACAGACAACTTCTTAATTCATGCTAATCCTCAAGCTGTGAAAACATTTCTACCTGCTTTTCTTCTTCTCTCGTTTATCTCTCTCTGAATCTCATCCCTCCTTCCTGAATCAACAACCGTTAACGCTGACACACGTTTTAAAAGCTCTTTAATCCAGCCTCGTCT